ATCAAGTCAATTACAACAAGATATGAAAGCATACGTTAAAAGGATGAATCGCTTTTAAAAATTCAATACACCTCAAAGAGCTTAAATTTACAATTGGAAATGCATACATACAAAATTACAATCCCTCAGATAGCAGTTGTGTAGTTGTCATCAAGCTAACTGGAGGATGGGATGAGAAGACCATAAGTGACTTGGAGTCATTACTAAAAAACTTCTTTAACCAAAGTGATATGTTTAGCCACCTTCGAATCACACCAGGGTCAGTGTGTATCAGTTATTTGGTGCCATATTCTGCCATTGCTGACATCACCAGTGCTGTCAATTCAAAATCTGATACAATGCGCGAAGTTGGTGTATTTTATTTTTCAATAAATGGCAAAGTTCTTCTTGATGAAAAAGATGATGTTAACTTTAATGAGCTGCTATTTGAAGCAGAGAAATTAGGCGAGAAATTTGAATCTTCCATGTTGCAATCATTGGCAGCTAGTCCATCTGTCCCTCAGCAAGGTAAGTTTTAAAGAAAAATGTTATTTTTAATTCATTATATTATGTAGCTATTGTTCGTGTTCCAAAGAGTTTATTACAAGAATTTAATTCAATAAGATCATCATTTGGTAGAATGATGAATCATGTGTCAAAAATTATCAAACAGAACTCTCCACCTCTTGATGACCTAAAGTCTCTCATTCAAGACTGTTATCCTGGCCGAAGTTTAAAAGTGAAGCTAGATGAGTGTTCTGATATATCCGGTGTATTACTTGTGATTAAAGACGAGTGTTCATTGACTGATATTGGTCTATTACAAACTGTAGTTGAAGAATTTGAAGTCACTGAAGCTGAAAAACACATTGAGCAATACAAGACAACATTGAAAGAGTTCTGTCACTCAATGTCTATTCGTCTTTCTTTGAAGGGAAGGTCTGATATGACAACCCCTTATCTTGCAATTGAAACAGCAACTTATGTCTTTGATTGGGAGCCTCAAGAGCTCATGTTACGTGATATTGTTGATATTCTTTCTGAAATAGCTGGTCAATTTGTGAAGATTGTATGTGCATAGTAAGCCAATTGCTGGTTATTAGCAGCCACTTCAAAGTTATTTATAGATACATGAGTGTACATGTTTTTCATTGTTCATACACGTAATTAATATAATAAATATTGTTCTTTCATTATGTTACACTGAAACAACAGAAGTGAACAAACAATAATATCTTTAATCAATGCAGTATCATATCTTTTCTCGGTTATACAGTCATACACACAATTTTGCTTGTTTTTTTTTATTTATAAAAATTAATTATAAAAATGTAATGATATTCATTGCAATACCAAAATGAGTCATATGCTCAAAGTGAGGAGGGGCAAGGTCAAGAAGATGGCTACTGCAGGAAGAGAAGTCGATGTCAATTGTACGCCATTAGGTTTGTATCCTTGTCACTTATTGTGGTAACTAGTTTCTATTAACAGATATTATTAATTTAAATGAAGTTATTACTACACTGGAAAAGAATGAGTTTCCAGAGCACAGATGGGTCGAGCTAGGCCTTAAACTACACATCAGTCAAGCAAAACTTGATTCAGTTGGAGCTGATAATCCTCTGAATGTAAAAGCATGTCTCAGAGGTTGTCTAGCTCACTGGTTGAGGCAAAGTTATGATGTTGATAAGTATGGTAAACCTACAATAGAGCTATTGGCAACTGCTGTTAGAGAAATGGAGTTGAGGGCTGTAGTTTCTAGGATCAAACAAGGAAGCACTCGATCACAAAGTATAGGGCTTAGATAGCCCATTATACATATTATATATGTGATGTTTCTGTTTTAGTACAATCACCAAAGGAAATTAAGCATATCATTGAAGTATATTCATCTAGTCGTATTAAAAATCTGAATGGAGAGTTTGCATTGTTTAAGACCCATTTACTAAGGCGACTTTCGAAACATATAAGTAATGGTAAAATAGAGCTTATTGATATTGCCCGATTTGTTGGAGAGATAACAAAGGTCGATGGTCTGGCATATGTGTTTTCTATTGATCATTTGTTTGATTCAATTAATGAACACTACTCTTATCTCAATTGTGATCACATAGAAACCATTGTCGAATATTTTCTAACTGATGAAGATCAGGACTTGAAGGATAGAATGGAATCATATTCAAAGAATTTTGAAAATTTTAAAACAAGCATAAAGCTACAGCATCTTAAAAATGCATTAGATAATGTAC